ATAAAGAATTAAAGTAATAATGAAATAATTATTAAAAACATTATAATAAAAAAAAACATTAAAAATATATAAAATAAATGAATAATGAGAAGATGTTATCATCTAAATATACTTTTAATAAATTAAATTAAACATTCATAAAATAAACAATAAATTCATCATTTTTATATCTTCAAAATAATAAAAATTATTTTATATTATTCAATTCAATTTCAATTATTTGGTGTTATATATGTGTTATTAAGTGAGACTAAAACTTAATTCACTCTCTTTTAACGATTATTTAAGGTATTGGTTTTGTTAACAAGACTTTTTATAAAACAACAACCAATAAGAAAATAACCAACTGAATTAATAACTTGTACTATAAAAAATATTCTTACACAGTAATAACACTTTGTTTTAATGTTCCTTCTAATCCTTCTTTATCAATGATACTTACTTTTACTAATCGTTGAATACAAAAGATTCTTGAAAAATCTTTCCCATGATAACTTGTATTATCTAATAATTCACCTGGTGCTACATGAATAGTTACATCTCTTGATACCATTACATCAACTCCTTCTTCTTCACTACTTTTTATAATATATCCTGTTAAAATTTCTCCTTCTTTAATAGTATCTTTTGTTACAATACGTGTTTGAACTCCTCCTATTAATGGTGGGAATATTTCATCATAAGCTTCTTTTAAATATTCTTTTCTCATTGAACATAAAATTTCGGGTTTATTTGAAAGTACATACATATTAATATATTTTCCATTTTGTAAATAATCTCTTGGAAATGGATTAAAAACATTACTTATATCACAATAATGAATATATCCTATTCTATTTCCTTTAATTAATACTTTAATTTTTAATTCTTTTGTATTATTACCAATAACTTCTCCAACAATAATTTCTCCTTCTTTAATTTCTTCTTTTTTGTCTTTTATTAAATAGATATTTTCTTTACTATAATATCCTTTAACTTTTATTTTATCTCCAACATTATATTCTTTTTTATTTATATTAATTTCTTCAATATTATCTCCTATTTCAATATAATTTAATTTTCCTTTAAGTATTGAATTAAACGAAATTATATATCCATCTTTCATTTCTCTACTAATAATTCCTTCGATTTCTTCTCCTTCTTGAATTTTTTCTTCCATATTTCCTTCTTCCTTCATACTTAATTCAACTATTTCTATTCTTCCTTCTATTTCTTTTCCTTTTTCTTTAATTATTTCTCATTTAACTTGTATTCCAATAATATAACATTCTATTTTCTCTCCTATTTCTATCTTCTTTGTACTATTAATTTTATGTAATCTTCCTGTAATTCCTTTTCCTAAATTTAAATAACTAATACTTTCATTTGTATAACTTACTACTCCTTCTATCTTCTCTCCAATATTAATTGTATTATTTTTAATGAAAAAGATGGTATGATAATCAACAAGAAGTATATTCAATTAAAAAGAAAAAGATAATTGAAAAGACGAAAGAAGAGTTTAAAGAAAAAACAAAAGATTGGGAAGAAAAAGACATTAAAGCTATAGAAGCAGAAATTAAAAACAAAAACCCAATTAAAGAAATGAATGATAGATGTAAAATTGCAAGAATAATAAATGAAACAGAAAGTATAATGAAAATACAAGAAGAAACAAAAAATAAAGAAGAAAAGATAGAAGAAGAAAAAGAAAAAGAAGAAATACTTGCTCTGAAAAATCAAATTACTGAATTGAAAGAAAAGTTAAAGAATACAGTATGGAAAGAATGGAAGAAGAACAAGCCATCTCAGAAGAAATGATGAGAAAAGCAAAAGAAATAGTTAGGAAAGAATTGAAGAAGAAATTACAGAAATGAAAATACAAATTAAAAAGATTCAAACGAATTATGAAGAAATGAAGAAAGAAAATGAAAAATTAGAAGAAGAAAACTTAAAACTACAAGGAAAAGTAAATGAGATAGAAGGAAAGAAAA